ATAAAGACCGTTTAAGGTAAAACATTCAATTTATTTTAAATAAACATGAAATTTAAAATAATTTCATTAATCGTAAGATTTACCTGAGTAAAACAAATGTATTCAGATAAAAAATGTCGTGTCAACACTATAGTATTTCTCATTGTGAATCAAATTTAAAATTATCCAAAAGTCTATCAAATATATTTAGATGGGTTAAATCACAGATTAGTCTAGGTTTCTTCGATTTTGACGTTCTTTCTAACGATATTCTTAGGAGGTATCGGAGTTTCCTTAAAAGATTTTTCATTCTCAGAACTTTCACTGTCAATCTTTTTGTGAAGCTTAATCAAAAGTACATAATCTTCACGATTTCGAAGTTATAACAGATTCTTACTAATCCTTCTTTTCATATATGACAACGAAAGCTTGCACGATTTTCCTTTTAAGTTCATTTATCTCAAGAAACACATCATGCTTTCTGTTTACATATTAATGCTACTTCGTTCTTATGATTTACAGCCATTAGATGACATGGATGAATACTAGTAAACAATAATTAAAATAATTAATTTTTTTCTGATTTTTACTTACTTTCGGTTATCGTCTTCTTATTCTTCTTAAAGTTTAGTTGCAATTTTTCAAACACATAATACGAAACATTAATATCAAAAAGTATAATTTAGTCGTGAAAAATTTTGAAAAAAAAGTAGAAAAAGAAAAGTATAAAATACATTTTCATAATTCACTTACTACCGTAATTCAGAATACAGAGACAGAAACGAAAAAAAGTAGAAATTGAATTGTTTCGATGTTGTTCATAGTATACTTTCAGATATTGTTAGTATTCTGTTTGGTGAAAATGAACTTGTTGAATAGAAAGATGTTTCAATTGAGTTTGTATCAGCCGCCAATGCTTGTCGTTGCCCATTTCGAATACGTCGTTGTTTTTGTATTAATAAAATAAAAAAAATCATTAATGTGACAACAATGAAAAGAATAATTATAAGTCCACCTATAATGTGTGCTATGACGTATGATTTTGAATTGACACCAGTCGAACTGTCTTCGTTCCATGGTGATGGAAGAAGATTGGAAAAAAAAGGTGTTTTCTTTGGCATAGCTGATTGTTGTACAGAATTTGGTAATGTGCTTGTAGATACCGTTGAATTTTGTACATCGTTCATTATCGAAAAACAGTAGTGTCTAAAATAAAGACGATCAAGGAATTACAACAAAAGATTTGATACACTCTTCAAACTATTCAAGATATACAATTACTGGACGAACATGTGTTTTCAATTGAAAATCAAGAGCTAAAACGAGTGACATTTTCTAGTAAGACGATAATTTTTTGACTGTATTTATCCAAAAATAGTAGAGAACAATATTTATAGTATACTCATATTAGATTTTCCTCTAACAATCTAACTAAAAGTTCAATTCTTCAGAAGATCAAAATATAAATGTTAAACTGTCTTTCCAATTTACCTACCCAACAATATTTTATGAAAGTGTTTTTAACTATTTATATTTGGAAAAAACAAACAACTGATGTAATTATTTACATATAAACTTGATTTCTGTAGGTATTTTAGTTCTTCTCTTTTGTAGACGATACATAATGTGAAAATTGATGCTGTTTTTTTCTGCCTCGTGTCTTCTATGTTTTTGACACATTTCATTGTCACAATATTATTAATCAGATAATATGAAAGAAAAATACAGTTGAATGTTCTCTAACCGATACAAATTATGATAGCCGTTTTTTTTTCTTCTTCTGAGAGTACAAGTGCTTTTTCATGCGACAATTAATAGAAAGTGAGAGAGAGATATGACACAATAGAAGAAAAACAGTTGATAGAACGGTTTACAACTGCCGAAACAAAAAACTCATATGATAATAGCAGGAAGTTTATCATTCGGAGCCATTTGAATATTACGTAAATTTCATTCCATTATAGAATAGCAGTATCGATTACGTAACATGAAAACCACATAGAAGATCATGACCTTCTATTCGGATAAAATATCATTATTGTCAAAATGTGTTTTGAAAAACAAAGGACGAATTGTGCTCGTGAAGACTGCTTCTTTGAGCAAGAGTCATATGATGTAGTACATCTGTGTATACAAATTTAATAATATTCGGCAACAGTACTCGTTTTGATCTAAAAAGTACTTTTAGCGTAAATAGCAAAAAAGTTACTTCAGCTGAAGATTATCTCATTCATTACATACATTCGACTTCTGGACAAAATAAATTACCTCATTTCTCCGTAATCAATCATTTTGATAATGAAAGTATGAAAAGATTTATGGTTCTCGTTGTTCAATAAAATATACCGAAACGCCATTTCATTTATGAAAAGAATTTAAAAATCTCTTTCATATATCCGTTCGACTTTGCTAAAATCAAAGTGTCGACTCACCGGCTCCAAGTTCTCTTTTCTGAATAGAGACTATAGAAAGTCTTGATCAACCTTGATTCCAGTGTGACCCCATAACTTAGTCAAAACAGCGAATTAAGAGCCGAGATTTTTTCTATGGCTATGCTCGATATCTCCTATTATCACAGAAAGTTTCTCGCTTTAAAACAAAAAAATCTTCGTATGTGGAAGGTCTCTACACGGCGGAAGGGAGACAATGGTTTTCCTGATGATGCTGTTTATTAGGATGGCCTACCAACACCCCACCGCAAGTCTGGAAGATCCTGAAGAAAAACTTAAAAGAGTCTCTTGTGCAATCAACGGCTATGAACGCAAACGTTTATTAAAATTCAATGTCATGTGTCGTTTCTTTCCATAAAAATCATATTGCTTTATTCCTTACCACATTTATCTCTGGAACACACATGAATTTTTCTGAAGTAGAGGAAATTCAATAAGTTAGCAAGCACTAGAGCTAGTAAGCTGATACTTTCTGTGGTAATAGGAAATATCTAGCACAGTAACGGAAAAAATCTCAGCCTATAGTTGGCGACATAACCCGTTTTACGCTATTCTCGAGGAAAGTCAAGCGTCCCTGACTGAGTCAGAATCGATTCACATAGCATCAGAATCGCACGATTTTGCTCAATGTGATTCTGTACTTAGGGCCAGTAAAATAGGCTCTCTTACTTTACAGGATATGCACAATCTTTTTCAAAGATCCACTTATATTCTATAATTTTTAAAACTAAAGGTGTAGTGTATGTAGAATAAAGTATATCCAGCATTTTATTGAATTACACTACTCATTAAATATGCTTTTAAATGTTTCCATGTTCACTTTGTACCACTATTGGCGATTTAGCAAAAGAGGCATTACTGCTTAGGTACCTTTTCATTGTAGCCTGATTTCCCTTATACAACTGGTACACATCTCCAACAAACGGATGATCCGGAATTGACGTTGACGCACCAAGCCGAGGCTTTAGAGTACTTGTTACCATCACATTGCCACACTGAATACTATCAAGTGTGATTGGATTTATGTTTGTTTCATTGATAATATCCTCGTGTGGATCATCTCCACCATCCGTCACATCCGCAGGACTATGATGATTCTCATCGACATTATTGTCTTGATCTTTTTCAGCTTCCTCTATCATTTGAGCCTCTATTTGTCTTCGGACTATTTACAGTGGAAATAGACTCTTTCTCCTCCTTTCAGATGCACTACAACAGTTAAATCATAAAATTTAAATGGAATATGCACCTTTTCTTCCTTTTTTGATGAAAAACGTATACGCACACGTCTAACAAATGTTTTTATGGATCTGTATGGGGCAGGCAGGCTTTCACATTCGACGCTCACAAGTACACCACCCCATCGGCTCACGATTAGACTTATTTCGTCATTGCTAATCGATGTGGGAACTTCCATTAACCGGATGAGTTTTGTTTCTTGATACGGCAACTGAATTGAAAATTTCTGCGAACCGACTTTCAACTCTCCTCCTTGCAACAACTTCTGTTGAGACGAGGATTCATCAAATCCGATAAACCATTCTCTTACGAAACCTAAACTGCCGATGGACTCAAATGTGTCTAGTGAATCGAGAATTGTACTCACTGCTTGTATTATGGCACAGCAATCAATTTTATCATTGCCAACTGTCAAGATCAATGACACAGACTTTTTCAAGAGTTTATGACGTGACATTTATTTTGTCACAATTTTGTGAAAATTGAGAGACGTAATAGGGTAAGACGACTAAGTTAACTAGTATGATGTACCTAAATCAAAGGTAGATTACGTGAGATATACAGTACAATTTTATTCTACAACGTTAGGACAGTCAAAAAACTTTAAAAACGCTTGTTAAAGCCTATACAAAAGGCCCTTGAGGAATCTATGCAGGTGTTTGTTTACCGTTCTTGCTGCGAATAATGACTAGACGATAAAATCGATAGTACCTAATGTTTGACACGATAAAATCACGATTGTCTAATAACCGTTACCGTACTGAACGACTGTTTAATACAGGTTGAAACCAAATGTGCAACCGTTTTCTTTTCCAATAAAGTGCCTCTAACACCTAATAAGCACCAACAAAGTGCGTGTTTTATTTTCACACAATATTATGGTATATTACTTTTTCAGTCAACTATTTCCACTTTGTATGATAAAATTCATTTAATAATATCGACACAAATTGGGCGTATGCACAATACAACCAAAAACTGTCTCCTTCTTTAGTTTAGTGCCGAAACCGAGTCGAATGATGAATCTTTTTATAGTTTTTCCACGTTCCTCTTGGAAAATAAGATCAAGATATCCAGCGCGAACGTCGATAACATCGCACAAAAACTCTTTCCATTAGTGAGTTGTCAAGCAGATGGCATGAGTTATAGATGAAACGTGTAGTGCGCACAGCCGAGAACCGTGTTTCGAGTAGAAGACATTCAGATGCTCTCTTCTTTCTACATGGCGGTTTAGCAAACGACTACTCATAACTCTTAATCAAAGAGAATTTCAGAGGTGAGAGGAACCGAGTTCTTCAGTGTTTATTGATATATTGCGGCGAAGAGTCGATTATGAAAGCGCGAACGATGTGTTTTGAATAAAGAAAGCAGATTGCTCTTCTGTGCGACTACACGTTTCATCTATGACTCATGTGGCCTGACTGATGACTCATTAATGGAAAGAGTTTTTGTGGGATACCGACGTTCGCGCTGGATATCTTGGTCTTATTTTCGAAGAGGAACGTGGAAAAACGAGGACGAATAAAGTTAATCAGGCGAAAAAGTGGGATGTGTACACGTCTCAAACGGGAGAAGATCATAGTCAAGGTTATTGCGCAAGCATATACACAAGCTTATGGTGAAAGACTGTGGTCAGCCTTATTGTACAAGAATATTCAAGACTATGGTGCAAGAATATTTAAGGTTATTGTATAGAGTACAGTCAAGATTATTGCGCGAATAAATAGATCGAGTTTTGTTGTGAAAGAATAACTTTTTTCGTTTGTAAATAAAGGGTGGTCATACACATCTGAAAAGCAGGATCCTAACATTGCTGTATCAGCTGGCTTACTGTCAATTCAACATCGCAGCAAGTACAAGCAATCCAGTCACTAACACTAGCCAGTATGATTATTAATCCAACAGCACAACAGCAACCCAAAACAATTGCGGTGGTGATTTAATATCTGATTTTAATAGCACAACTTCAGATCCAGAGTTATATGTCGATCCATTAGATAATCGTTATAATTCAAGTGCGGAAGAACATGACAAAGAAGAATCATCATTAATTCGATCAACATCAGACAGTCAAAATTCGGATGATGAAGATAAAATCCCATTATCAGTGCCTCGACAAGGTAAACAAACAACACCCTGATATTCGCAATCAATCAAACGTTACAATCGAGTATATGGCGCTCCATTGGCATTTAAGAACTTTAAAGCTGGTATGAATGTATCCGTTATTAGTTTGGCAAGCATTGATCAAATGACTCTCAAAAAGTTTGATAAACAAATATGTTCTGTTTACTCCAATCGTTATAAACAAGAATTCTGGGTTGATAATTGCGTAGTTTACCAGTATGGTGGAGAAAATGAGTACAAACGACCACTTCCATCACAAGTATTTGAAAAAGGTCAAAAGATTTTTTGCTCTGTTTACTGATGGGAAAACATCTATCAACAATTGTTAACAAAACCTCTGAGGGTTATAGTTATTTTGTTACTCGACAAGACGATAAAAATTTGAGCAAGTCGATATTGATGATGTGACACTACTACATGAGAATAAGGAACAATCCAAGCCAGACTGCGAGTGGTATTATCGCAGACGATCGATGACTAGTGCTAAACAGCAATCAACATATGAGGTTGATATGGGAATAGCGGAACATTTTGATGAAACATGACCACAGGGGGATGTATCTGGGCATATTTGGGAAGTAAAACAAGAACGAACAATATTCGAATCGTTCCGTAAAGAATAAATCATACAACATCAGTTAGAACTGGAAAGTTTGGAACTAAAATTTGAACGTGTTGAAAATGAATTGAAACTGCAAAGTGAATTCGAGATGGAACGTTTGAGAAGTGAAAACGATACAATGAAACAAATTATTGGATTACTTGTTCCAGCATCAATGTATAATGAAAAACTTGATCATAAATTGGTTGAAACACTCCAGTATAAGACAGAATAAGAAGTGCCATCGTTGATCAGAATTCACTATCCAACACCAAGTAGAGATGGCTCAACGGCACAAGTGGAAAACAAATACTGAAAGTAATGTGGAAAAGTTGTTTACTCATTATCCACATGGCTCATGGTCATGGTGCTATCACTGGCATTATATGTTGGCAGACATAAATCAATAAATGATACTGGTCCTCACATTGATTTAATATTAATGAGTGTTGGTTTAGGTGGTGGAAGATTATTCGGCCAATGGAAAAATAAATGGAAATCGACAAGCTCGGACAAAATTGGTTATTCGTCCATTGAAAATGAATTACGATTGTTACTATTCGATCCCCATTAACATAATACAACTCGTGTTTCTCAATGGATATGGGCTGGTTACTTGACATGTGTACCTTCTGTTGGCTGATGTGTAAAAATTGTTACCAACTTGCACACAACATCTGCAGCAACCGGTCTCAGGACTTGCGCTTCACATGAATAATAAGGTGGTGGCAGCAGTTGATCGATGATTTAACCAATCATTAGAATTTTAACTGTGTTGTTTGATATACGAAGTTATTTATTTCGATTGTGTATTGAAGTATTTGATATTGAACTTATTATTGGAATTTAACATCAACCAATGCCGATAATTCAAAATTCAATATAATACTCACAATTCGTTGAGCCTGGCCCGTTTCGCCTGATAATTCGAAATTATAAATAACATTAGCACGCAGCATCAGTCCTTATAGAACTTGATCATTATATATCAACTTCAGGCTGGTGGCAGTCCTTGATACATGCAACGAACACTGATGAAGTGGCAACTCCTGGATTCCAGTTTGCTGAAATGAACGAGCTCAAATCGAACTGTTTGCTCACTGATTATGGTGGTGGCAGTACTGCAACATTGAACATCAAAAGGACCTTCATTATAAAAGAGGTAAGGCATCGTGCCAGAAGTTCTTCATTGAATCAAGTTAGGTTAACACCTTTACATTATTATGTCACGTACTAGAGTCGTGCCATAAGGGAGAAGATCACGGTCAACGTTATTGCGCAAGCATGTATACAAGCTTATGGTATAAGACTGTGGTCAAGGTTATTGCACAAGAATATTCAAGGTTATTTCTTGAAAATAAGAAAAACTGAATTAATCATATATAAATGTGAAACTATATTTTCTTGAAGGAAACCACCTAACGAGACCCTTGAGAAAGGTCGGAACGGGTCGTGGTATCTTCTTTTGATTCTTTCAGAAATGAACTCTGTCTGAGTCCCTAGTAACTACTAAGCGGTTGTAAAATTAACTGAATTAGCCATTTTGTAGCGTTGAGTTCGCTCTATCTTTTAGCTACACTTCAAATTGTTTCACATCAAAAGTCATGGCGAAATAATAGTTTTTCTGTCGGTTGTCATGCATTTTTTTCATTAAGTTCTTAAATTTTGGGTATAGTAGTGCTTTGAGTAAAAGTCCCATAACTTCATCAGAGTAAAAACTTTTTCGGTTGGGCTTGTTTTGTTTTGATCAGAAATGATTGCTCTTCTCTATCTAACTACAAAATCAAAACTTCAATCGTGTTTTCGTGTCTGGCTTGAGCACATTGTTGGAAACGGGGAGGGTGTCAACTTTTGACGTATTTTTGTAACTTGGTTCTCCAGCACGTTATCTGCTCTAAAAAAATTGTTTATAGACCACGAGAAAGAGCACATTTGAAATCACCAAACATAAACTAAGTTCTCACTTTTGTTACACTTTTTAGCGGAAATAGTAGCAGAAGAAAAAGATGAAGTAGAAAAAAATTTCGAGTTGAGAAAGTTTCCATTTTTTTCGACTTTCATCTAATTGGCTTAGTTTTCTTGATTGAAGTTCTGACCGTATAATTTAGGTATGATTTTGTAGAATATTTCAAGGTGCATCTTTTACAAAAAGAAGTAGCTCAAATCAATAGAAGAAAATGGAGAAAAGACGAAAATACTAAGAGAGCAACTTCTTCTGAAGCATCGATTATCAGTAAATATCACGATTTGGGTCTGAAATGTTTAATTGGACTTTGTCTGCTTTGTCGGGACACAGACAAGTTGGAACAGTGCACCACTATCAACCTAGAACGTTGTTACCTAGGTAACAGTTGTACAGGAAAAAGCCTTTATCGAAAAGAACCTGTTCATTGACAAGAACCTTATCGGTTTCTTACGAATTTCTTATATCAGAAATTGCATGAAAGTGACAAGAAACTCACTGGTTCTGGTAAGAAATTTATAAGAAGCTTTTTTTTGATGCTGAATCCGAATAAAATGGTTTCAGAAAAGTAAAATTAGTGTAAAGGATCAAAAACGTGAATTTCCTCAAAACAGGTGAAATTTTCGTTTTTTGAGGGGTAATTTAATTTCGAAGATTTCTCATCCAAAAATTTGCGATAATGCATAAAAAAAAGACACATTCGGAATCTCCTCTTCAAGTTCTATCCAACCATGTATGATTCGACCAAATCTTCTCCACCACTTTTGCATTTCTGGCATCTTAAGGAACTCATAACATTTTTGTAAGACATTTACGTGGTTCTTGTCATCTTTCATCTTCTTATAAAAATCTTATTAGATTCGTGTATACTCCAAAGTGCTTTACTAGATAAGTGGTTTGATTTGTAAAAACATCGATCAAATCCAACCTATTCACAGTCCGAAAAAATCATTATGCAATGATTAGAGCCTTAAGTTGTGAACTGGAAACATGAGCACGGAAAGATAAGCACACGAAATTTGAGCATTAGGAAAACTGGGCACGAGGAAACTTCAGCAGAAGGAAAGTTGAGTACTAGGAATCATGAGCACAAATTTATAATTGGTCCATTAAATTTTTTGTATTATAAATAGCTGAAAAAATTTAGGACAGAGTTACTGACAATTTAATCAATATACTATTAATTAGGATAATTGATGTAAATTCTCTCAATTTCTTGATTCACGTTCACTACTCAACTTTCACTTTTCAACTAACTTTCTCATTTTGAAAAAAATATATCCACAGCGGCATTTATATCAGCAAAATAATGAAGCACTAAAATAGAAAAGTAAAACAAACGAACAGTTTGAACGACGTCTTTTAAATCTTTTATTGCATCCAATTGATGATATTTTTATACAACTAAATAATATTGCAAATAATATTTATTGATAAAATAAATATTTCTGTCTTTGTTGATTATGTAAAATAGAGAATTTAATATTTCATATAATGGTATATTTGCATGCATGTGTATTTAATATTTTCTATAATAGTATAGTGAATAAATTGATTAATTTAACTATCTGTTAAATTTTTTCAACTGTTTATGATACAAAAAATTTAATAGATAAATTATAAATTTGTGCTCATGTTTCCTAGTACTTAACTTTCCTTCTGCTGAAGTTTCCTCGTGCCCAGTTTTCCTAA